TGATGACGCTTTTGAATCCAGTTTTAATGTAAAATTTCCTAATTGTAGGAATTTTTAATCATCGTCTTAATGCTTAATGATGTCTGCTTTTTGGATAATAAAAACGAAATTTTGAAGCTTTCGATAAAATTTTGCAACCAAAACAAAATGAATTATAAAAAAGAAGTCAAAATGATGGTGGACCAAAATTTTGCATTCGGTTTTTACAATAAAATTTTGATGCTGTAAGAATATTCAACCCTCGTCTTAATTTTTGAGAATGGTTACATTTACGGTTAAAAAACGAAATTTCGATACTTTAGACTAAAGAGAAAAACACATCAACATGATGCTGAAGAATAGTAACCACAATTTTTAATGCAATTTTCACTGTAAAATTTCTAATTTTACATGCTCTGGACAAAATTTTGTGGCCAAACCGACAGGAATAACAAAATACTTCCTCTATGAGGAAGCAAAAAAATTAAAGTATTAAAGTTATTAATTAAAGTATTAAAAATTAAAGTAATCAGCTTCAGCTTTTAAAAGCTGAATTGAAAAATTCATAGATGTAAAAATTATAGGAGCACAGTAAAAAGTAAATCTTAATTTAAGAGCTGCCTTAAATTCAACACTGTCTGCTATAATGTTAAAGGATACGAAAAACGTGCGTAAATTCAACATTGACTGTCTTAAAAATGTTGCATCTTAATTTAAGGCAGCTTTCGTGCCTTAAAATAAGATTTTCTTTTTACTGTGAGGAATAAAATTATTCGGATAAGAGGAAATGTGTTCAACTAAATTTTGAGTAATAAGACTTTGGTCGTCACATAATTTTTGATTAAGTTCTGTCAAATTATGCATAATCAGCAGATTAATAACATTATGCTAATGATAATGCTAATGCTGCCAAAATGTCTAACTAATGGTTGGACTTTGAAACAGAAACTTTGGTTAGATTTTTAGTTTCAAATTCGATATACAGATCAGATGAAAATTAAGTTGTTTTACAGCAGTAGATGTAAATGATTTTTGGATTTTTTTAAGTCCTTTGAACAACAAACACTACAGATAAGACTAATGTTCCCACTCCCTAAACTTGTTCTCCTAATTATACTGTCGTATTTGTGAAACACTTCTTCGATCCTATTTTAACCGAAAAAATTATTTCTGAATCATTTCATCCATTAAAATTTTTCTTTTTTTTTTTTGATTCAACAATTTCCCAATTTCTACTGAAAGAAATTTGAGAAGAAATTTTGTCATAGTAGTAAAATTTAATACACACTATTCACCGAAAAAAGGAAGAAAACCTTTCCCTAGTTTTTACACCTCAAGAAAAATGTCCTACAAATAAAAATTGTAAAATTTCGAGTCGAATTTTAAAGTTTAACTTTAAAATGAATAGTCCCTGTATGTGTGTATTTTAAAAGCAAAGAAATGAGCACGGTTTTGTCGCGTTTATGCAATCGTCGACACGCTGAAGGAACAGAGTATATAGAAAACGAATGGAAGTTATAAACACACACAGAGAGAGAAATACACACTAAGTAAAAGGCACATTCAGAGTCAGATACGTACAGAAACAAATACATATAGAAGAAATACAGAGAAAATACAGAGACAAACACACAAACACGTATAGTAAAAATACAGAAACGAACGAACTAACCAACAGCAAGAGAATTGCGACAGAAAGCGTTTCGAGATTCTCTTTTAATCGTTGGGCCTTGGGGCCTAGACCTACTTGAATTACACCTATAGCAAATATATTCTCTTTTAAAGTTGTTTATATATATATACACAAGAGTATGTATATAAGAGTGCAAGCAACCACAAACTTAAAAATAGTTGGACTTCTTTAGATATCTTTCGAACTCTTCGATCTCTCGTCTTGTGTTCTGAAATTCAGGATTTCGATGGCTTCGTTTTTCTTTATTGCCTTTTACACGGTCGCAACACAGTGACACAGTTGATTCTGCAATGCGCGCTGCGCGTTTACGCAAACGATACAAAAGCGGGCGGCTCGTTTCTGATAATAAATAACTTTACTCTTACTTTTAAACGTCGCACGACTTAATACCTGATCAGACTCAACGATAAAGGCGTGAAGTAACTATACACTTTACACACACACACAGACCAATTAACCAACACAGTTATAAAGCAATAACTAATAGAGAATGAATCTATGATTTTATAATAATAATTTTACAGGTATAAACTTTTGATTTGTATTTTTTTCCTTTTGTAAATTCAATTCAAGTCGAGCTAATTGCTTTCTTAGGAGACTATATATATATATATATATATTCCTAGTTTATTTTAATGCCGGGAAATGAGTTGAGAAACGTGTATGAAATTAAGAAAGAACTCTTAAAGCCAATTACTGTTTTAAAATTACATCAACTGTTTTAATGTTTGTCGGAAGAAAAATGTACATTACTGCTGAATTCTAAGACCATCCCTCTTCTATTTTCTTTTTTTGCTTTTTTTAAGATTTTGGTCAGTTTTCTGAAAATTCCTAAAGATTTAAAGATGCTTTTAGAAATTTTCGTACAATGAGAAAAGAGAATTGTTAGTTTTGCATAAATTCTTGATTTCAATTGGGAATAATAATACAATGTGTAAATTCTGCTTGCTTTACTGCAGTAAAACTGTGCTAAAATCATTGGAGAACCTTGGTTTTCAAGGAGTAAACAACTTCCTACATATTTAATCATCCATATCTAAACTGCTGCCTTGTTATGATTGAACAGACATTTTCTTTGCATCATCTTTATAACATGCATATGTAATGCAATTTTTATTTTCTTCCCTTGTTTCTTTGTCGAATTTGTCAAAATTTACATTTACTAAATGTTTGCAAAAGAAAAAGGAGAAAAAATGAAAAAACAGAAAAATTGTGTTCACTATTTACAGCGGAAAAGAATTTGATGCTCTCTTGATGCATATTTATTATTGAAAATTTTGTCTTGAGCATTATTAAAATTACCTCGTCTTGATGTACTGCTTTTATTACCCGCATCACTAATATTTACTGAAATGTGTAAAAATTTGTTTCAATTATCCGTAAATTATGAGAGACCATAAAAAAAATTGTTGCAACATCTGCAACTTTTGAGAGCATCAAAAAAATTGTTGCAACATCTGTAACTTTTGAGAGCATCAAAAAAGTGGTTGTAACATTTGCAACTTTTGAGAGCAACAAAAAAATTGTTGCAACATCTGCAAATTTCGGTAAAGTTGATTAAAAATTTTGAATAATTTGCACAAATTAAGTAGATATTGCACAGAAAGAAGAACTACTTAAAAATTCATTTCAATTATCCGTAAACTTTGACACATCTTCAAAAAAATTGTTACAAAATCTGCAAATTTCGGCAAAGATGGTTCAAAATTGTGCATAATTTTGCACAAATTTAGTATTAGACATCATACAGGAAGAAAAAATAGACATTTGATATAATCCTTCATCAATTTTTGTGAATCATTTGCAGTAACTTTCTGTTAGTCTAAATATTTTCAAAAAATAAATAAATAAAAGTGTTTCAACGTTTCTGCAAACGGACATTTCTAACTATGAACGTGGAAAGTGAATAAAATAAAGATCCAAAAGTCCGTTGGCAATTATACATATATATATACATATCCAACACTTGACCATCAAAATAAAATCCAATCAGCGTTTCCGCACGGCTTCCAATTTACCGTAATCCTCAATTAAATTAAAGGGTGTGCCTTATACCCGAACACTTTTCTACAAAGACACTCCCTGTAATCGATCGTTATAATTTTAACCGGAATACTTTTACTTTAATCTCCTCTCGTTACAGTGGAAACTTTGATCAATAAATTCCTTGTGCTCGAATGGATCAACTTTTGCGGTCGAGACGCACTGAAACCGCATCAAACTTACTTAACCCCTTGGCTTTGCTCTACTTTTAGTCTTTCAAGTTCCAACAGAATATCTCCTTTTTCTCTAACCCCCCCTCGCAATACAAATTAGAGAATAAATCGCATTCTTGTGAATCAAAAACAATTTTCTACTTCTTTAGAAAATATTTTCTCGCCACACTCCTTCTACACTCTACAGTGTTTTGAAATATTTTTCATGTATTAAAAATTGAGTAAATTCTTTTTCCAAATGTTGAAATATATTTTTAAAAAAAGAAATTAAAAATAAACGATTTTTCTCAAAAGAAGAAAGTTATAATTCGGTAATGACATGGTTATGTCATATCGAAATACTCGAATCGTTAAATAGTATACAGGACCGGGCCAAATGTGTTACGAATGAAAGAATGTTCACTTTTCCTTTTGGTAACACGTGTGACGTAAGTGTGTTTTTAAAAAGAATTATGTTCATCATGAAAAAGATTTAAATCGTAATGTGATTTCCTCGAGTGCCCTTTAATTAATTACGTAACTACTTTCTTTCTCTATCCTTCTTTCTCAAACCTTCTTTCCCCTCCATTTTTTCTTTTCTCCCACAAGGACCTTTTCCCCAAAATCAATTTTTGGGTCTTGTCCAAGCAAGATTTTCTCAAATCTGGAGGGAAAAATATTTCTCTCCTTTTATAATATCTCACAAATCAAAATTTCGAAAAATAACTTTTGCCACACTCATAAACCAAGCAGAAAAAAGAAACAGTTTTTTAATCCCTGTAAAATGTCACCCTTTGCTTTTGATTTTACTGAAAGTTAAAAATTTCCAAATTTTAACTTTATACCTGAACTAGTAAGTCGCAATAAAATGAAAATGAAATGACAATGAAATTTTATGCTTCGAGAAATGTTTGACCGTTTTTTTTCTTCGCTTGAAGATGTTTACTGCACCCGACTAGGCAGGACAATGAAGTGTAGAAAGAGGGGATTATCCTAATGACGAACAGCTAAACTTTTGAGAAACACGTGTCTGGCACATAATTGCCGAAATTTCTGCCACGTGGTCCTAGGCTCTTAAATCATTACAGTTCCCAAATATATTCTTCTTCTTAGGAAAAATTATTTTCTTTTCTTAAAATGCAAAATTTAAATTATCTTCCTCTTTCTCAATACATTTTTTTGGGGGAAAATATTTTTTCCGTATTTTTTTGAATATTTTTTATTTTTTTTTATTTTTCCCATATTGTAAAATTGAGAATCTCAACATATAAATGTACTTGGTTTTTTTTTTTTTTTTGAGAGAGGCGAGACGGAAAACAGAGACTAAATATCGCTTGGTGGAGAAATATGCCTTGTTTTGTGACCCAAAGAATCCTCGACCCATGAAAATAATGTGAATGTCAGGCACAGTTCTGGCATTTAGAAGAATAAAAGTTTCCGATTGCCATTACAGATAAAGGAACATTAATGCACGCTACATAAGTCGTTGAAGCTGGTTCTCTAAAACAAAAAAAAAGTAAATACATTTATATTTGAATTGATTAATATTTCATGAGGTTTACTTATTGTGGAATTGATTTTATCCATTTGCGATTTTAAACCATATACTGATCAATTTTTCTCTTTATTGCTGACATTATCTCCAAATGTAATTTCTCCCGCGAGTTAATTGCAGTCGAAATTAAATGTTACTTTCATAAATTATCGTTAAACATTTTACTAATATTGTTGTTAATTATTATTGTATAGTAAATTGGAGAAATAATGTGGTGAAAAATAAATATAAATAAATATAAATAAATATAAATAAATACAAATATATATATATATATATATATATATATATATATATATATATATATATATATATATATAATAAATAGTAACTATAAATATAAACGTATTTATTTTTCTTTTTAAAGCAAAACTTTTTTCATTTTCGTTAATAGTTATCAAATTCATTATGCAACGAATTATTCTCAGTTTTATAATTTCTCGAAAATGTAAATTTCTTGTTCTACATATTAATAGAAATTTTTTTTTTCTCAAGAAGACATTCTTGATATCGAGATTATTACAGCCCGAGTACTTTTTTCTTTTAAATTATTTTTATCGCCTAGAGAATTTAAAAAAAGGAATTTTAGCATAAATTTGAATATATAATTTTTGTAATTCAACAACAATTTTCATTGTTAATTCAAAAGATTTGTCACATGGGAAATTTGTTTCTATTATATGTATACATTTATATAGATATGAATAAGTCAGTTTGCATGCACAGAGGATATTTCCCTCTCCTTATAAAACTAAAATACTTTCCAGGGAAATTTTTCTCTATATAAATATAAACGTAAATAATAATTTATTCATAGACGAAATTATTTGCGGTAAACATTTTTCTACTTTCAAACAAATGAGGGCATGACAATTATTATTTGTTTTTGTATCATAAACTCATTTTAATCTGATTAAAAATGTGAAATTTTTACGACTATCGAGATTAGTATTTATTATTATTATTATTAATTATTAATAAATTATTGAATATTGAATTGAATTGATTCAAAATTACAAATTTACTGTTTTTTTCTAAAATATTAATAATTTTTACAGTAGTCTTTTTTCTATTAATAATCCAGTATCAAAATATAAATGTAATTTGTATATAAAGTGAAATATCATCAAGTCTCGGGTTTGTTAATCGACATCATTATCGCTTCCAACTTCCGTTAAATGACATTTTAGCAGATAATTTATGTAACACTTTCCTTTATGTGAAAAGTAATATAACACGACAAATACAAATAGCCTACTGAATATGTGAACAAAAAAAAATTTCAGAAGAATTGTCTCTCTCTCTCTCTCTTTAAAAATCTATTTCCCTGACCTAATTTTTTTTAGTCTTACTACATCTGTGAATATATATATAGAAAACTTTGTTGATCTATTTATTATTATAAATAAATAAGTTAAGGCTTCTTTGCCTTTCGCTTTATGAGATTATTTATCAAACAAAAGGGAAAATTATAAAAAAAACAGGAAAGTGTCTTAAAGAAAGTACGAGCTTTACACAAAGGAGAAAATAAATTTTTTAGACGTTCTCCTTTAAAAAAATATTTCCTTCACTTCAATAGTGGAGGTAATTTATATTAATAATACATTTAGTATTATTATTTATGAAGTATTTTAATTATATTTATTTATCGCATTTGTATTTATATTCTTTATAATACACTGTAAAAAAAGGGAGTTAAATTTTAACTCCCCAGGGGATTCTATAAAAGTCGCACCCATTGGAGAGTTAATGCCAGGGGAGTTAAATAAAGAGAGTTAAAATTTCACACCCAAATGCTAACTCCCCAAGGAAAAAATAACTCGCGCGGGTGTTGAATGAAGGGAGTTAGAAATTAACTCTCTTTTGGAGTTGATTTTTAACTCGAAAAATTTAACTCCCAACTCCCGAGTCCGTTAACTCCCTAAATTTTTTACAGTGTAAGAAATCTTTACATAAGAAAAGAACCGTTTCGTATCCAAAAAAAATCTGCCCGCCCTTCGGGCGGACACATTCTCATCCGCGCTTCGCGCGGAGGCTCGCTTCGCTCGCTAGTTTCAGCGCGCCTCGGGGCGCGCAAATATGTCGGTCGTCGCACTTCGCGCGCAAATGGCTCGCTGTCGTCTACAATTGTTGTACATTATTTTCATTCTGGTTCCTGTTTCTAATTATATATAAAAAAATTCCATTAATAATATCTTTTAAAGCAAATAAGCTCAAATATACTGATTCCTCGCCAAAAAATATTTCGCTGTGGTACGAACTCAGTCAACTGAGACTACGTATCAGACACGAAATATATTTTTTGAGCCGCTAAAATATTTATTTGTCTTAAAGTTACTACGACTTTAAGGTTTACATTCTCATCAAATATGTGTTGATTTGCAGCTAAAATGATATATTAATTTCAATTTTGTGGATAGAGAAAAATTTCATATAAGAAATTACCAATTACTGCAGGAGGAGAGAAATAAATCAATTACAATGCTGCCATGGGACTGCAGCTTGAATCAGACAAAAAAATGCATCTTTAAGCTATTGCAGAAACTCCTTTCTAGCTTGGTGTGAAGGCGATTCTGACATTTTTGGGTATATTTTTTTTTCTATCGACAGTCGTATAACGCACCCTTAACTGAGCAGTTTCTGTGCCTACAGGTTCTTGAGGCCTAAGCAGACTAGAATCTTTAATCGGAACCGCAATCATAACTGTAAGCGTAAGTATGAGTTAGAGAAGGATAAACAATATAACTATCCTTCCCTAACACATTCTTATGCTCACGATTACGGTTCCGGTTAAAGATTCTATTGTGCTTAAGCCTTCATTTGATACTGTGAAGATTTTCTAGCTAGAGAATTTTTTAGAAGTTCGTGACCCGTTTGGCTGCGTCGGACCCAAAAACTTATAAAAAAAAAAAAAAAAAAAAAAAACATAACTTCTTAGTCTTTTGTTGTACTGAAAAGTGTCTAAACGAAAAGTTGGTTGTTTTTGCTCAAAATTTGAGGAAAAAAATAAAAAAATATATTTTTTTGAAAATTGTAAAAAAAAAAAATTTTTGAAAATTTGAAAATTTTGTATTTTTGTTGTTTTTTGACGAAATGGGCTGCCCAATGAACTCAGGCTTCATTTTTATGGAATATAAAAGTGCCCCAAATTGCAAATCGATTCATAAAAGTTTATTCGAGTTATCATGGAGACAAATTTTTCCACAGACAGACTACAGACAGACAGACGGACAGACACTTCTCTAAAAACTACTTTTTTAGAATCAGAGGGTCATGAAACGTAAAGATTTTCCAAAATTAGACATTGCTCAAAATCGCACAAATCCAAGACTTTCTCATTTTTGATGAGAATGTAATAAATATTTATTTTTATATTTAATTATTTAAATATATAAATACAAATGGATATAAATTTAAAAAAAATTAAAACGTTTCAGTAAATTTTCGTTTTGAAAAAAGAGCCGATTCGTACCCCGAAATAAATAAACAAAAAGTTTCGGTAAACTTTAGTTTCAAATTCTCTGAAAAAAATGTCTTGAACCAAAAAAAGCGCGTTCGAAAGGGGCTTTGTGAAATGATAATACAGGACACAACAGAAATTGCTGCGTCGTTACACGTCTGTTTAGAAACTCACGAATTTCATAATTATTGTATTATGTTGCAAGATCGTGTCTATACATGCTGCCCGCCCGCTTGGCCTGTAAGCCTACCTGCGCCTTCGACGTAGTCGTCGTCGTCGTCGTCGTCGTGCGATCTGGCACCGGGGGAAGGGAGAAAGGTTAGGTTGAGGCGGGGAATTGTGTAATCCTTTACTTGGATTCAAGTTGGGAGAGCCTTTACCCGTCTTCTTTATCGCCCGATGTGCCTGCTGCCTGCCTGCCTGCCTCTTTTTATTCCTCATCAATTCCCTCGCATCCCGTCGCAAAAAAGAAGCAAAAAAAATCCCTCCAAACCGAAAGTTTGTCTCAAGAATCTCTTCAAAATAAGACACACGACATGACATCCGCCATAGTGTGACCCAAATAAAAGTCACATGTGTATAGACCCCTCCGGATATATTGTATCATCTCCCTAAACATCCTACCGAGATAAGTTACATGAAATCTAAACCAAAAAGTCTTCTCTAAATTATCCATATTTTCTTTCTCTTTTAAAGTTCCAGTGTTTTTCTTTACAGTGAAAATAAGAGGCAATTTTTTTGTTTCGATTTAGAGACACGTTAATCAAAAATTTCTTTTTGCATAATACACTGAAAGACTTTTTGTTTCAAAATGTAATATGATTCATTTCAAACAGGGGAAAACGATGTTTTCAGGTTATTTAATCGTACGAATGTATCAGAAAAGTTCGTAAATTGTTCGATATAATTTGAAGAATTTTAGAGAAATTACAAATGATTGCAGAAAAATTCAATTAATTGATTTAAAAAAAAGGTTTCAAATTAAAATCATTGAAATTCTGAATTTTTCATATTTTTAACAAACAATTCTGTAGAATTAATTCTTTTGAAAAAGTTTAATTGAATTTGTTTAAAAATTATTTCAAGTTTTTATTTTCTAATGTATATTTAATTGAATAATTTCCCAATAATTGAAATTTTGTAAAATTGAATTGTAAACAAATGAATTTGAAAATTCACAAAGAACTTTTTCAAAAATTATTAAAAATAATGGATTTATAAAAGAATTTTAGTTAAAAACACTAGAAAAAAATTTAATTTTGGAGAAGTTACAAATTATTGCAGAGATTCAATTATTTTCAAGAGTAATAAAATTCTTCTTAAAGATTTAATTATTTTTACTAATAATAAAACTCATCGCAGAATATCAATTATTTTTCATACAATTTTAATTGAATTCCTTGAAAAAAGTAATTATTTTCATGCAAGTTTTAATAAAATTCGACAAAAGAATTTAAATTTTTTTAAAATTTGTTGATAAAATTCTTTATGAGAATTCAATTTTGAGAAACATTCAATTATTCAATAAATTATTTACTTTTGTATTTAAATAATGGAATTCTGGTGTAATTTTCTAATAAAAATTGATTTAAAAATGAATTTTTGTTAAAATTTTAGATTATAATTGAATATTAAATACAATATTTAAAGAAGAATTTATTTTAGTTAAAAATTCTTGAAAATAATAATTGAATTGATATAATGATTTTATCACTCGGTTATCATTAATTATTATAAAACCTGAAGAAAACGATAACTCCGAGTCTTCGACTCGGAGTTATCGATATCTTCATGTTTTATAGTAAGTTATGAAAAATTTAATTTATATTTATAATTTTAAGCTAATCTACGTAAAGTTTGTTTAACCCAAACAAATATTTACTTGGTTTGAAATAAATATTGGGTTCCATTTTAAAAAATCAGCGTTCGAAGAAAGAATTTAGTCACGTGAAGCAAATTTTATAGTTGATTCAAATGTTTGACAAACAAACGATTCAAACAAAATTTGATTCTTTCAAAACAAAATTTAATAATTTTATTGTTTCAAACCTTTTTTTTTCTGAGCGTAATAATAAATCTGAACTGTAATTTTTATGAAGTATTTCAAAGTCTTCAAAATTAAAAATTCTCTCACATACCGTCCAGATACAAATTGAACATGTACTGAAGAAATAAAGACCTCTGCATATGAACTCTAGCTTTTAGAGTCTTCCAATCGAAAGTAATTCAACCGCTTCTTCTGTAACATATGAAGAACATTTTTAATTACTATCATTTCTGATAAAATCATCAACTGCAAAAATTACAAAATGAATAAGAAATTAGAATTTTGAAAAATGCTTATGGAATTTTCTTCTGATGTTAAGAGATGTTAATGACGATTAACAAATTTAAACTGAATTGGGATTTAAGGATTATAAGCCGATTTTTTGGTATTCTACTTAAAACGGAATAAATAAATTAATAAATAAGAATAAATATTAAATAATTACTAATCAATTAAGTCATTAAATGTTTGTTTCGGGTTAATCTTGTTTTTTTCGAAATGTAAAATAAGATTAATAAGTTAGGACTTCTTCTGAACAGTTTAAGAGTGAGAGACTTACACGCGTGTTTAGAACGATTTCTAAGCAGCAGCGCCAAATAAAGAATAGGCCGGTTTACTCACTTCTTACTATAAATAGACTATTAGTGCTCTCGATTGCATTCATAAAGTACCCAGTCTTGAGCATACCTAATCGACATCATAAAGTCGCGTCTCAACCAAAGCAATATAATTTGATTCCACGTGATATCATTTCTCTGCGTTCGCTTTAATTTTATTAAAGAAAGAAATTGAAAGTTAACAGGTTATACAATAAATTCTAATATTTAACTTTTAATTTTTCCACATTAGATCAATGAAACCGTTATTAACTTTCCCACTCTCACACACTCTCTCTCTCTCTCTCTCTTCTTCAAAACTTCTTTAAAATTTCATTATAATTTCATTATAATTTTATCTTTAAAATTCTCAACTCAACTTTTTTCCACTTTCCCTTTTTTTTTATCTCTATTAATTCATGTTTCTTCATTTATGTCTCATGGAATTTAATTTGTTAAATTTTCATGAATGCTTTTTCTCAGTCCAGTTTTTTTATCCATCGATATTTTAGTATCAGTAGCTCATTCATGTAATCCAGTGATTATGCTAATGAATAGCAAAAACTGGTTTTTCTCGTGTCGCGCTATATGCCGAAGAATCGATGCACTCGATGCGTGATGGAAAAAATGCATTTGGCAGCATAACATTTTTTGTATATTTGTCTCACAAAAATGTCAAAAAAATTTTATTTTATTAAAAACAGGTTATTAAAAATTCAGAAGCTGATTTAATTCAATTTTAATGGACAGAGAAAAAAAGAAGCAGAAAGAATGGAAAATTAAATTCGATTCGCTCTTTAGTTTTTCAATGTGTACATGAGAATAGTCCCATTAATCATTCGCACACCCATTTTCAAAAAGGAAAGGCACACACTATTATGAATTATTGTGACGATCAACATTTCAAAATGAATGGAAATTTTTCGTAGAGGAGAAATATGTATTTTATATAGATTTAGTTAGGTAATAATTATTTTTCAGTTCTCAATTGAGAGAATAGTGCGGAGGGGGAAATAATATGGATGTTAATATTTTATCCGAAAAAAAATTTTATCTGAGAGGCGGTAGGAATTGAACCCGGAACTCGTTTTTCGCTCGAAACGCACTTTAGTCGCCGCTACCACGGAGTAAACATTTCTTTTTTCTGTTTCTTAAAACAAAGTTTATCAAGAATAAAATATGAAATTAAAAAAGCTTTTTGACAAAATGAAACAAAATTCGAATTCTGGGTCGTAAAATAAAATAATAACTATTAAAAAAAAGTGCCATAAATATGAAAATAAAATAAACATTCACAAAAATAGAGCTAAAATCCAAGAAATAATTCTAACGCATTAAAATAAATTTGTTTATCAAGATATTTATTTTAAAAGATCTATTTCTGTTTATAAATACACATAGAAATAGAAATTTGTAAACCGCTTTTAATTTTTTTTCCAATTTTTCCGATAAACTTGAGGTTGGATAATAAATCAAGGTGGACATTTCTCGACATCGAATTGTGTTTTATACTTTTGTTATCGCTTTTATATAATATATTTCTTTTTTTTTCTCGGTTCGTATATGTTCAATTTTGTTTCGATTTGTCAAAGATTTACCAGAAATATTTCTCGAATCTTTATAAATAAATACAAAAAAATATACACGAAACAGCAACGAGGCCTATACAATATATGTTTTTGCAGTGCGTTTCAAAACCCACATATTTTGCGTTATGCAAATTAATTATAGACAATATTCCGTTCACGTTATTGTCTTACGGTTAACTTTGATATTCATATACACATAGATTTCAATGCGTTGAATGATAATAATTGAATATATATATATGCAAGTCTCAACATTGAAAAACTGTTCTCGTATAACAATAAACAAACAACAATCGGAAATTTCCTCGAGAAAATAATTCTTTTTTTGCGGATTTCAAAAAAGAAATTCTGGAAAAAATTTCTATTTGTTTTGCAAAAAGGATTTAATTAAATAAAATTTGGTTTTTTATTTTTTTAAATAATGAAAATTGTTGTGTGACGAAGAAAGGGCAGAATATAGATTTAATTTGAGGTTATGTTTGTAATTTTTAAACTGAAAATACACAAATGGGAAGAAGTCGAAATTTATAAAACACTGAAATTCATCTTCAGTACAGCTGAAATAATTAAGAAAAAGTGATTTTATTTTAAAATTAAACACAGAAAAGTTTTAATTAAGGTAAAAATAAGACAAGCAGGGTGGCCACATGTCAGTAAAGTCAGGGAAATTAAGAAAATTGGGAATTTTTTCGACTTATTTAAAAAAAATGTGACTTTTTCGACTTTTCTTCCAAACATTGCAATAAAATACAACAATTTTTAGTACTTAAAAAAGCAACTTATTTTAATTTTTATAATGCGAAAAATAACTATAAACAAATCTTTCAAAAATTGTTCGTGAATCATTTTTTAATAAAATTAAATTTTTCAAATATTTCTATAATAAAAACATTTTTGAGTACATAGTTGAAATTTTGTAAAATTGGAGTTGAAAATAATTAATTTCTTTCAAGTATTTATTTACAACTTTTAAAAATCAATTTTTGAAGAATTTTAATTGCAAATTTTGAAAATAATTGAAATTAAAAATGAAAATTAATGAAAATTAGTTTCTAATTTTTTAAAATTCAAAATTTTCAGTATTTTCAATTACATATTTCCAAAAATTCAAATACATACAAAAATAATAACATTTTAGAATTCTTTTCAACATTTTGAAGAAAACAATCAATTTAAAAATTTTAAATTAAAATAAAAAAAAAATTAATTAATTTTTTTAAAGAAATTCAATTATTTTCGAAAAATTACATTAAAATATTTTTAAAAACTAATTATTAGAATTTATTGTTTTATAATAATTTTTTAAGATTCAATTATCTTCGAACAATGTAAATAAAAATTTATGAAAATTTACTTTTTTAGACTTATTAAAATTTTTGAGAAATCATGGTCCTGTTTATAATTAAAAGTCTTTTATTTATATTTTTCAAAAATTCAATTATTTTTAAAAGATTTTACCAAATTTTAATTGTTTGAAAATTTTGCAAAATTGAAAAACTGTTATATTTATATAATTACAATTATTATAAAAAATTGAGTTTTTGTATTTAAATAATAATTAAATTCTAGAAGAATCAATTAATTGATTTAGAGATGAAGTTTAATTGAAAATTGTAAAAAATAATTGAATTCAGGAAGGGTTATAGGTAATTGTAATTTTTTGAAATTATTAAAATTCATAAATTTTACCCATATTTTCCGTAAACATTCATATTTTCCTGTAAATAGAATTTAGTGAGGGAAAGTAATATTAATGTCAGTAAATTGTCAGGGAAATTGATAAACTGAAACTTGTGGCCACCCTGACAAGCATAACCTTAAAGTATGATTTGCTTTTTGGGTACTTTTCTTTGGCAAATATTTGACTTCTTTTTCGTCAAATATTTAATATTTCTTTATTATATAATTTAATTATACAAAAATCGGATTTATTTTTTATTACATTTATATAAAAAGAGAAAAATATTAATCACTAAATTGCTTTCAGAGCAATTGGAAAAATATGTCAATGGAGACATTATATATGTTATAGGTAGATTCAGGCATGCGAAACATATGTATAAAATGGTAATACAGCTTTAAGTGTTTACCCCATTAAAGTTGCATGCAATTTTAATTCTGAAATGCGTTCCTATGACATCGTAATTTATTCCTGTTCCAAATCCAAAACTGCGTGAATACTGCATTCCCTCTATTAAACTTTTATGCAAAAAAAATTGTAGAAAAACTATTTCTAAAAATTAACTTTTTAAGTTTAAAAACAAAAGATGAAATACAGAAATAATAAAAACTAAATTTTTGGGCCAAAAAAGAAATTCGAGGGTAGAGATAAAAATTATTTAACCGTCTATATATTAATAATAAAAAAGCAATAAAATTATGAAATTTGTCTTGCATGATAAAATTAAAAACACTTGTAATATATATATATATATATATGTATATATGAATTTTTAATGAAAAATTTATTAATTAAATTCATTATTATATTGAATGTGACAAATTTATCTTATCTCTCTTTTTTCCACAATTTTAATGTTAACATATCGTTTTCTGATTTAAATCGCAGTTTACGAAAAGAAGGAAAAAAATTCATCACTTTTTCTGCAATTTCTTTTAATATCGCGCGCGAATGAGATACATTATTATCACCAAATGGCTCATATTGAAAATGCAAAAAAAACTTTTGTGTGCACTATTAAACCTCGCTAAACGAGTCCTACACTCGAATATATACAACCCACGTTAGAAATACCACATTCACTGTTTCTATGTATATATATATATGAGAATTTGGCTTTGGAAAAAAGAGAAGAGAGAAAAAAAACGATAAGCATAACCATAAAGTTAGATCTATATAATAGAAGTGTACTCGACAAACATTACAAATTATATAATTCTATAATATAACAGTATTTAAAGTATGAGAAAATTAAAATAACATATCTTGGATATTTTTGTTTTCGTTTATATTCGAAAGAGAGATGACTTTTTTATGTATTCTCTC